ACGGAGGTGTCAATCCTGATTCACCGGACACCAATGGCCGAGCACCTATATCCTACGCTGCAGAGAAGGGGGCACAGGGTGTGGTGAAGCTGCTTCTCGACCGCAGGGATGCGAAACCTGATTCACCGGATAACCATGGCTGAACACCCCTATCATATGCTGCTGCTGGTGGTGGGTGGGGCGCAGAGCATATCGTGAAACTGTTTTTGGACCGCAAGGGTGTCAATCCCGATTCACTGGATCCCAGTGGCCGAACACTCATCTCCTACGCTGCGGAGCAGGGGTCAGAAGGGATAGTAAAGCTGCTTCTGGGCCGCGTGGATGTCAATCCCGATTCCTCAGATACTCATGGCCGAACATCCCTATCTTATGCTGCCGAAAAGGGGGCGCAGAGAGTGCTGGAGCTGCTTCTGGGGCACAGGGATGTGAATCCCGATTCGCCGGATCACAATGGCCGAACTCCCCTATCATATGCTGCGGAGAAAGGTAAATTTCGCGCTGTGGGGTTGCTACTTAAACACGGGGGTGTGAACCCCGATTCGGCCGATCGAAATGGCCGAACACCACTATCGTTTTCTGCATTGGGAGGATGCCAACTTGTAATGAAGCTACTTCTAGATTACGGTAATATCAATCCCGATTCAACGGATAAGAATGGCCGAACGCCCCTCTCATTTGCTGCGGAGAAGGGGGAGGCCACTACAGCGAAACTACTTCTGGAACGCCCTGACGTCAACCCCAATTTACGGGATCGCAATGGCCAAACACCCCTATCATTTGCTGCCCAGAGTGGCCGCGAAGATCCCGTGAAGCTACTCCTGGCTCGTTGGGATACTAACTCCAATTCATCTGATTTCGACGGGCGGACACCCCTATCACTTGCTGTCTATGCGGGAAACGAAAGCGTAGTGAAGCTTCTTCTTGAACGCGGTGACCTCAATCCCGATTTATGGGATAACACTGGCCAAACACCCCTATCACTTGCTGTTTGCGGGGGATATGAAGGTGTTGTGAAGTTACTTCTACGGCGCGGGGATGTCGATCCAAATTCATGGGATGGGAATGGCCGAACACCGCTATCACTTGCTGTCTCTAGTGGATATGAAGGCATTGCTAAGCTACTCCTCCAACATGTGCACGTCGACCCCGATCGGTCGGATAGTCATGGCCGAACACCCCTATCGTATGCTGAGCAGTGCGGGTCTCTAAGTCTGATAAGACTATTATCGGAAGCTGGAAATCGCTATCGTCGATCAATAGGAAATCTGTGGCCGGATCACACTCCCTGTTCGTTGTGAGAATCCTGCAGGACCCGAGGTACCAGACCCGCTAACAGTGCAGCAGAATGTTGTTGCCCAACAGCCGGGGGCCTTCCACTCGCCGTCGCCGTCTTTGTTCCTCCTTGTTTATCCCTCCTCAGGAACCCCCTTTATCGCTCAAATTTCCTCCGCTAGGTGGATTTGGCCTACTCTTCCCCCTATCAATTCATACGCCTATTCCTCATTCCCAGATTGGATTTCCTTTTTTTTTATCTACCCTTAGTCATACTACTCAGCGTCAGTTCTCGTTTTTTTAACATCAATCGTGCGATTTAGAATTGGGAGCCCTTGGCATTACTTCACACCATCCATGGCCCTTGGCGGTAATTTTTTTTTAAGTATTGGTTGGATCGGGTGTATTTTCGTATCGTGTTTCATTTCCATTTTCATTATAGATTGTAAATTTTCTTCCTATCATATTCCTAGTGCATCCGCAGAATCATTAAATCCAAATACTGAAAATACCATTATCACAAGTCCCGTATGCACAAAGCACATTACCGGACTCGCAATCCCTCATTAATGCACCAGCCATTCAAATATCATGAATTGAAGACACTCTCAACCAGTGGGTCAATGAATTACCTACCCCTAGCCACACACACCAAGCCGCATGACGCGAGAAACAAATTCATGGGGAAAATCTCCAACCCATTCGCTATAAGACTGATCCCTTCTTCCTCCATCCTAAGATAGCCTCCAATGTAACCCGAATCCCCTATAGAACCACAAAACACCCCCAAACCACCACCACCATCCCCTCTCACTGTCAGAAGACCCCACGCTTTCGGAGAGGGGAATATTCCGGAAAGCTACAATTCACATTGCCGCCCAAAGCCACCCGCGGGTAATCTCCCTGCACGCCGGAGACAGTCCCATAGCTAACGGGACCCTTCAACACCTTGTCCAAAGCATCCTCCAATTCCACCGTAGTCATCATGCTACCGTCGCCAATCTTGCTCAACACCGTCTTCAATAGCTCAGCCGTAACTAGATAACTATCCTCCCGAACATATACATTCCGACAGTAATACAGAACAACCATAATCGCAAGAACCTGACCCACGACTACGATACCCGCCGCGATCCAGACCCTATGCCATTTCACCTCTAGTGTTGTTAGCACATGTCTGGTTGGGCCGGCTTTCGGATCCCTTAGCTTGCGCGGGAATACTTGGTTTCCGTAGGCTATTGCGGCAATGGGAAGGCGGGCTATCAAGGCGGCAACGTAAAGGCTGTAGTACTGCCTTTGAATGTCGGAACCTCTTTCGCCGTTTCCGTAAAAATTGAGCTTTTGCACGCCGACGGAGGGACTCGTTCGGCTTTGAAGTTCCCCGAACCACCGGTAAGCTATTGAGGTGGTCTTGCCCGCCCTGACAGGCTCCGCGGTGACTGTCCAAGTTCTGTATGCTGTAGATAGTGATGTACTAGTTTCGGCCCAGGCTGAAGTGGAGGTTATGACTCCGGGGTTCGGCGCCCCGGTATCAGTGCTCTTCGTCACAGAGGATCTGGTATAGGTTATGGGGTGCTCAGAGACGACTTCTGTTGTGCTAGTGAGAACCGAGGCTGAAAACACTACTCCGCGTTCTACCTCGTTCGCAATTGGTAGGAGAAAAAGCGAGGCTGAATTAAATAGTGGTTGTGGGTGGGGGGCTTGCCCCTTCCTCTCAAAAAGGGTTGAGGTGCATTCCCAGACCGTAGCGTCATATACCACATCTGGAGGATAGTGTATTAGTGCAAACTGTTTCAGGAAAGTTGGCAACTGACTTCCCACAAGTTACAGAGGATCCATTCCGCTTCCCAGCTAGTGGTGTTGCCCAAGTGACCCATTCTGAACCATCCCCGGCCCAGGCATTTTGGGCATCCAGTACCCTTATTACTTCAGCAATATCCTCCCCATTGTTCTCATCTTGCCAATCTTTCGTTCAAAATACCAATGTAAGCTTCATAAAATCTTCCTTTGGTGCGTAATTCATAGGATTATGGAAATATACTCTTGGATGCTTGATCACTACCGCTGTAGTTTTTCCAGTACTCGCTTCCCTCAACCCGGAACATAGTGCAACTAGCGGAGGAGTGCACAGTATGGTCCGACGACACTGGTTCTATTCCATTGAAATCCTTTATACTATAAGTGAATTCCACGGTATTACCATCCTGTTCCAGAACTGTCCCATTAACGGCGAGGGTGTATAGCGTATTTTCAGTCAAGTCCAGGAACTCATTCAGGTTAAAGTCAATCTCCGGTCGTCGAGTAAGTGTAGCTAAACCGCCTTCAGTCAGATCGAGGTACGATCCTGCACACAGGGTCAGCTAAAGGTGTTATGAAAATCGTGTGTTCCGGCGGGTAATAGAGTTCTCACTGAGCTCCTTCTCGGCCACCCCGGTGTCCGTAGCGTTCCTGGTGAGCAGTATAGTAGAGTCCCAATTTGTGATAAGGGTAGGAGGTATCACGACGGGGACATTCACCAGGTTGAATACCAACCCGAAAATGGCAATACTAAATCTTCCGGTAATGTTCACGAGGAGATATATCAGGACAATGAGGGTTGTCATGGACAATCTCCATTCCCGAAAATGCTCGAAAATGAGTGCAGCCGAGCCGCTGGGGGAGGGCATTGCAAGCAAGAGTTCAATCTATTATGGACCGTCAGAATCGGCCAGGATCTTAGTTAGGAAGGCGCAAATCACACACGTCCTGCATTTTGTATTTTGCCCTGGCAAGCAGGGGCCATCTTAGCATAGACCCTAAATATCCAAACATAGATCCAAGGCCCAAACTCGCGAAGGCACTAAGTAGTATTGTAATAGCATTGAACCCTCTCTGCTCCCAGAGCGACAATTCGCCCATCCGTGAAAAGATCAGGAGGCCTAAAACAAGAAATGATAGCGAAAGAGCCGTTGTCAAACATCTCCCGGAAAGAGAAAGGATGTTCCACCAGAATTGCTCCCGACTATCGAATGACATCGGCAGCGTCAGCGGTTTTTCTAACTTCAATATCAATGGATCATCCACGTCGTCTGACGGGGGATGGTGGGAGTCCGATCGCAGCGATGACATCTTAGAGAAGAAGGTTTGTACGGTCGGAGAAGTTGTTGAGTCTGCCAAAGTTCGAGGAATCAGGGGGGGTTGAACGTCCGGAGTATGGAAACCTCAGTGGTCACATATTGGATGCTGTTGCCTATCTATACGGCGCACTACCTTCGCCAGTGCTGTCAACGAGCGGGGTACCGTATCGTACCGGTGCTACCGTAGCCTGACCAGATATTTTTTACTTTGTTTTCCGCAGGCAGGGCGTTTGATGCTTAGATTGACACATGGAATTACCTGTAAGACAGGGTACTTTGTATCAAATGCCCACCTCTGGAAGGGCAGGCTGCCGATGCATCTTCTCCTGTCCCCGAGCCAGGAACGGGGGCCTCCGGATAGCCTCTCACGAACCTAGAAAAAGCATCGGTTGGGTCACTTGACCGCTTGTGACAGTAGCGCAACATACCAGTATCCAGTGAGAGTGATATCACACATTAAAGTTATATGATATGATATATGGTGTGGAAGCCTACCATGGTTCCAAAACCCCCGCCTCGATTTTGCATGAGATTTCCCATAGATTTATTCCAGGTTCGACCAGGTGAATGCGATAACAGAGTTAACCCTGGCTAGAGTCATTTTGTTTTATGGTTCGAAAATCTGGTATCGGGGTTTGTAATTTTATCATCCGATCCAGTGGTAGTGTACTAGTATGTACTCCTAGAGAAATCAGCACCAACGCTGTCCTTTCTATGGGCCCGCTAGAGTGATTTCATAAGAGGCGCCCATTCTTGGCTTGGAAACAGGAGCACCTGAATATTGCACCCCAATCCAACTTGACCCACGATCATGCGCCGCGGAGTTGGTCCGTAACCACTTGGTTCTCCTACCCATCTGAGGAAGAGCCCGGTTTTGGTGTAGCAAGGGCTGTCAACTCTAGCTGGACCTTTTAGTTTGGTAAAATTATTATATAAACATACACTACTGGCCCAGGAAAACCGGTACGAATGTGGATGGTGCTCTGGGGCTGAACTGTAGAGATCGACAGCAGAAGCTTACATCCCTGTAACTTCGCATATTATTTGGCTCAACAGCCGAGTAACACACCTTCCAGAATATTGTTCAGTGCATGCGTTACCGGTATAAGTTACCAGTTAACTGTATTCTTATTCGCAGAGCCCTAACTCGGAGGAGGTCCGCCATAAACTCTACTTTTGGACTCCCATAGAAGATCACCACACTGGTACTATGGTGCCGTATTAGACCATGCAAGGGGTATAATGCTCGCGCTTATACTTATGGATATTTGCAAATACCAGCCAATAAGTTACAACGCAATGCAATATCTGAAGATACTCCGGTATCTGTGGCTGTACGACACCTCATCATATTTAACCGACCCCTAGCGGCACTTACCGATACCTTGTACTTGTACGACGCGAAACAACCACGCAAGCCACAGATTCCCCCACGAAATCCACAATCCACTACGCGGACTATCCCGTACGAGTTCAGAAATTCTGTGGCAAGGCTATGAGTGTGGGTGGAGAGGGAAGATAAAAGAAATTAGTCTCCATTTCACACCACCATTTCCCCTGTAAATCGTCTGTCCAACAATCCCCCCCCTCCAAACTTGCGTTGACATGAGCTCGGTCAAGGAGCACTTGCGCCACCCTACTGTACAATTACTGTGCATCACGGTACTCCTTCGTCTACATTCTCGGCAATCTGAGCTCTGGAACAAATCGGGAAAAATAAAGATTTCGCGGGCGCATCAAGACCCCGACTAGGATGTAAGATTGTTTTCGAGTTGAGTAACTCACCGCATTGCTCTACTTTCCAAGTCTGATATCAGAAACCTGTGGTAACAGGGGGAGAGGTGGTGTATCGAATGGGGAGGTGAGTGTGTAATACCTCGTCAGGATAACTAGACTTGATAGTCACACCATATCCCACTAAAATTCGCCAGATGAGCACACCTCTCTTTTCGCGCGTCGCCCTGTCCTTCCAGCTCCCTTTCTCTTTCCGGTCGCTTGGGTAGGTGCGCATAGTTTCTCCGGATGGGGAAATGATTGATACCAGTATCGTATTACTCTTTTTTTAGTGCTAGTGTTTACTGCACTCAACCCATGCAACTCGATTTTGCTAATATTGGCAGGGTATGATACCAATCTCAGATACCGAGCATGGTACCAATGATTACCCACCGGGAGAGTAGCCTAAGGCCCCTCTTCAAAAACTCAACGGTGGTTAGGGCTTAACTTACACTTCTAGGAGTAATATCTGCCTTTTTACATCAAACGCTGATCCAAATGATGCTAGGCCAATGGTTCGCTTGCCACGCAGGCCAGTGATGGCCACATCCTTTTCCCCTTGCACTAAATAAATTGTTCTGTTCTCGAGTATAGCAAAATTTCCGTGTGCACACCCGGCCTGGGATACGAGGACATAGGACTACGCAAATTTAACTATACTCGGGACAACCAATACTAAGTAGGAAATAAAAATGTCTTCCACGACAGAATACCGAAGCGGGGTGGGGGAATCGGAAACCCCAATGTAGGAAAGTAATCCTGACGCTCTTATCGACGGGGGATACCCTATTGCTATAAAATTCAAGCTATCTAATGTCCTGGATAACCTGGAATACCCTAAACTCTGGGCAGAGATGGGGGCACCTTAAAGAGAAATAAAGATAAATTGACGATTATTAGATACCCGGGGGTGAAATTCAACGAGAAAATGGAGGTGTTAGGGGTTTTTATAGAGTCCAGCGAGGTACTGTCAGGGCATAATTAGGGATGATGGTAACGGTTGCCAGAGAACCGTGTTTGCTAGATAGTGGTTTTGATTTTTCTGAGC